AGGGCTCAGAAGCTGCTTGGGAAGGCGCGCTTCCCGGTACTCGGCTCCGCAGCACGCATGCGCAACCCCCAGTGGGTTGGCTCTCGGCTTGGCTTTTCTAGATGTAAGAAAAAGTAGACTCGTCCACTGGTTGCGGACAACGCTGACGTCAGTTTCCCTCTACAGCCTAAGAGTTGAGTTGTCTGCTTTGACTGGAGAGACGCCGAGCAAAGCCACGTCTTTGCTGCAGGGCTTTCTCTCGGTTTTTCCTTTACCCGGAAGTAAGGGATCGGTGGAACACTCTAATCTGTTCGTTAGTCTATACCAGTTTCGCCCAAGCGGCCGTGTTGCGCACGCGCGCCGCTCCAGCTGTGTCGCGCGACGGGCCTGGGAGGCAGGCGAGCAGCGGGAGGGAAGGCCGCTGGTTGCGGGCGGAGCAGCGTCGGCCCTCCGCCTTTCCAGGTTGGACTACAGTTCCCAGCATCCCCAGGCTGCCCGGGGAAGGGTTGAACGATGGGGTCCGCCCCTTCAGGCTGTGCCCGCACGCATGGCCGTGCAGCGCTGGGAACGATAGGGACTGTGGTCCCGCCCTGGACAGCGGATGCTGGGAGCTGCGGCCGGGTCGCCTCCGGCCTTTGCACTGACTTATTGCAAAGAATGAAGATTTTTGCACCGCCTCTCGCTTCGCCCTAGGAAGGCCGGGACGGTGATCGCTGCGGAGCCTCGGGAAGCCCTCGTCCTGCCGGGATGCCCGAAATAAAAGTCACCCCCCTGGGTAAGGGAGCTCCCTGCCGGCTCTCCCCTGGAGGAAACGGGGGGCCGGGGGCGCTCTGCCAGAAGCGAGTCTCCCCAAACGTCGGGAAACCCGACATCGCCCACCGGGCCGCGGGGGATTAGGGGCCCCGAATTGAGTGCTTTGGAGAAGGTCGCTTTGGATTGGCGGATTAAATAAATTTAACAGCAGCTCGTTTGGGTCCCTGTCCCCAGACTGGTCCCAGTACGTATTTCCACGCTGTATTTGGGAGTCCCGAAGCTGGAGCTCCTGTGTGGATGCTTGGGTGGGCAGTAGGTGAACTTTAAAAAGAAAGAAAGAAGGTTTACTGACCAGAGCAAGGAGGGAAGGAGCAATCCGATTATCCTGCACCAGTTTGCCTGCTCCCCGGGCTGGGATTCCCGGCTCGCCTAGTGTGTCGCCCGCGTTAAGGGCAAACGTGGCACGTGCCAGTGAGAGGATCAGTAAAGCCTGGATTTTTTTAATGAAGCCAGTTCACTTGTCTGCTCCCTCTCTCTCGCTCTTTCAGGAGCTGGCCAGGATGTGGGCCGCAGCTGCATCCTCGTGTCCATTGCAGGGAAGAACGTCATGCTGGATTGCGGGATGCACATGGGCTTCAACGACGATGTAAGTGCGGCGTGCTCCGCTCTGGCTGCCACGTGCTCTAATGGATCTGGCTTGAGGTTGCTCCGAAACACGCACGTAGGGTTGAACTTGGCGCGTGGGAAGGCTGGGCTCCATCTTCTGTGAGCCTCAGCCATCCTAGTGAAAGGCTGCGGGATGGTGTTCATAGTCTCTCTACCGCTCTCGTTGTGGGTTCTCCCCCCTGACTGTGGGGCATGGGCAACCCTTTCCCCCCAATGACTTTCTGAGTGGCTGTTTCCTAGCCAAAATCATTGGAGCCCCTTCCAAGCTTCCTGGATTCTGGGTGCTCAAGGCGAGGCTTTGGGAGGCAAATGGAATAATGTCTTTCATCTTGTGAATGAGGCTCAGAACAGAAAGTGGTTCAGGCAGCCTGAGATCTGTGGCCAATTGGGTGGAAAGGAGGGAGAAAATGCCCAGACGTGGTGGCTTCGCCCTTGTGTCTTCTAGAGGCGGTTTCCGGACTTTTCCTACATCACTCAGAACGGAAGGCTGACAGACTTCCTGGACTGTGTCATCATTAGGTGAGTCCAGCTCTCTCGTGTTTTAGTATGTCAAAACTAGCATCCTTTACTGTCCGCTGGCCAACTTGGCTTGAGATGTGCTGGCTGACGTGCCTCCCATAGAACAAGTTTGACTGCCCTGCTTGGCTTGGTCGTCTTTTGTATTTCCCCATCTCGTGTTTGCAGCTGTCAGTGATATCCTGGTTTTTCCCCAAATAACTACTTAAAAATCTCTGGAATTCTTGTAAACTTCACACAGAGATTTTCAGTTGGAGGGTTTTCTGGGCTGGAGGTTTTGCCCAAAGATGGTGGTCTGATGTAGCTTTTTTATTTGATTTACATTTTGCAAAGTTTTTTTTTTAAATAAAGCATGTCAGGTTAATTGCACATGCTGTGTCAATATCTGAATAGAGGTTTTTTCCCTACAGTGTTCAGAAAGAGAGTCAACAAATAGGCAAAACAGTCTCTGCTGAAGCTCAGTTAATGTTTAAATGTTATTCTCATGTTTTATTTGGAAATTGGGCTGCAGCCAGAGAGATGCCATAGATCAATTCTGAAACTGGTTTCGTTTGGTGAAATTATACTCCAAAACAAAGTGGAGTTGAACTGAGACTTCCTGATTGAGTCCTCCTTAAAACCCACCTTGGATTTGTGTCACTCCAGCCACTTCCATCTGGATCACTGCGGGGCCCTTCCCTACTTCAGCGAGATGGTCGGCTACGATGGGCCGATCTATATGACCCACCCAACAAAAGCCATTTGCCCCATTCTCCTGGAAGATTTCCGGAAAATCACTGTGGACAAGAAAGGGGAGACAAACTTCTTCACGTCCCAGATGATCAAGGACTGTATGAAGAAAGTGGTGGCTGTCCACCTTCATCAGACTGTCCAGGTAGGGAGAAGTGATCTTTAGACTCCATAACCCAGATTTCCAGAACTTTCCTCAGTGGACAGACCTTTGCACAATTTGGGGAAGGAAAATACCTGGATACAATTCCTTCCCCACACCCCACCTACCCTGCCTGTTGAACAAAGGGAAAAGTCATATTTGTAGCTCCGTTTACTTTGGGATCTGTACTTATCCAAGTTTGGATCTACTCCACCACGGATCCAGTTAGACCAAGGGATGGGGTACTTGGTCAAGAAAGACACACCCTATCCTTGGAGGGGCGGGAAGCCAAGTTCTGGCTACCATTGAAGTAAAAGAAAGAGTATTTTGAGGTGCATGTTGTATAAATGTATACTCTACATTCTCATCTTTCTACACAGTCATGGGAGGAGCAGGACGTGACATGCTCTGTGTCACAACATGGCACAAATGACACACTATGTAATTTGTATAATTACGCAATGACTTCATCATGTTTCCGATGTCATCATGGCTTATACGGGACACCTGTTCACACAGTGGTGGCAAATTGCCCAATTTGCTATAAAAAA